AGAGGACAGGATCACACTTCAAAACGACCTTGACAGATTAGAGAACTGGGCCAAAACAAACAAGATGAATTTTAACAGGGAGAAATGTAAAGTATTGCACTTGGGCAAAAAAATGAGAGGCACAAATACAAGATGGGGGACACCTGGCTTGAGAGCAGTACATGTGAAAAGGATCTAGGAGTCTTGGTTGACCACAAACTTGACATGAGCCAACAGTGTGACGCGGCAGCTAAAAAGCCAATGCAATTCTGGGCTGCATCAATAGGAGTATAGCATCTAGATCAAGGGAAGTAATAGTGCCACTGTATTCTGCTCTGGTCAGACCTCACCTGGAGTACTGTGTCCAGTTCTGGGCACCACAGTTCAAGAAGGACATTGACAAACTGGAACGTGTCCAGAGGAGGGCAACCAAAATGGTCAAAGGCCTGGAAACGATGCCTTATGAGGAACGGCTAAGAGAGCTGGGCATGTTTAGCCTGGAGAAGAGGAGGTTAAGGGGTGATATGATAGCCATGTTCAAATATATAAAAGGATGTCACATAGAGGAGGGAGAAAGGTTGTTTTCTGCTGCTCCAGAGAAGCGGACACGGAGCAATGGATCCAAACCACAAGAAAGAAGATTCCACCTAAACATTAGGAAGAACTTCCTGACAGTAAGAGCTGTTCGACAGTGGAATTTGCTGCCAAGGAGTGTGGTGGAGTCTCCTTCTTTGGAGGTCTTTAGCAGAGGCTTGACAACCATATGTCAGGAGTGCTCTGATGGTGTTTCCTGCTTGGCAGGGGGTTGGACTCGATGGCACTTGTGGTCTCTTCCAACTCTATGATTCTATGATTCTATGATTCTATACCTCATGGAAAAAAGGATAGGGAACAACCAAGGTGGCCTATTGCTTCTGGGCTTCCCAGAGACATCTAGCTGGCATCTAAATCTGAAGGGCAGAGTACTGATTTTAGGGAGAAGATATATAAAATGATTGGCCCTCCTGTTTGAGGTGGACCTCTATAATTCTTCGAGTCTGTGGCCAGGACTCAAATGCAACACAACCAGCCGGTTCTCACCGCCTAATCCCAGGACTCCTTATTTCTGGCACTGCCTTACACCTCTGTGGATCTTCTTCTCCAAGTCCTTGACCAACGCAGGTGGCTGTTGGACTTCTTTGGCTAAACCGTCCTTGGCCATTGAGTGGCACCCTACGCAACAATAGCGGGTGGTAGGGTGGGATGTGAAGCCTGGAACTTATTGAGTAGTGCTTGGTGGATCAAGGTAGAGCTTTCTAGGGTGGGGGGAGACCTTTTCAGCACTGCTTCTATGGTGCTTGGCTCATCTTTCCTGGTACAGGTTGCTGGGCAGGCAAGAGGGCTATAGCAGTAGGTTTGACTCAGCTCTTCTCCATCTCTATGGTGGCCCCCTACTTCCTGTGCCACTCTAGTCCTTTTGCATCTCTATGCCAGTCCCCTACTTCCTGTGCTTCCCTGCCTTTGGCTCCATTCACTTTCTAGGCTGAGCAAGTGGTTCCATGACCTTCCACGCTACACATTATCTGATAGGGTGCCACCCTGTCGTCCATTCTCCAACCCCTGAGCCCCCCAGGAGTGGCAACACCAGGAGACACTAGCTCCTGTTAGCACTCCTTAGCACCGACTAGCGCATCATGTTTTCTGCGCTGGAAATGGGAGACCGGTCTTTTAAGTCATGCTTCATTTGCCATTGTTAAGCACAGGAGGGCGAAAAAGAAACGGCCGCTTTCTTCCCCTTCGTTCTCGGCGTGTGAGGAGGAGCATGTTTCCTTAAACTCTCCGTGACACGCATTGCTCCCGACAGCTGAAATAAAACGAAATTTACGAGCTTTTGTCCACGGGCACCGAGCGCGCAATCGATTCCACAGAAGCACTCTTGCACCCCCGGCATAATTCACGGCCCTTCTTCCCTGTTCTCAAGGCAAGCTCTAATTTAATATCATTATGTTTTCATGCCCCCACACATTCCAGCCGTCTCATCCACTGACGCTTTATTGGACTCCGGATAATTTACGGTTGGATGGGTCGCCTTCAGCCTGTCCTATTTTTAGCGAGTCTCACATCTATACATATTCTTCCCTTCCTTCTCCACAGAACAAAGTGTGTCTGTACACACACGTAAATATATACATATAGAGAGATATAACTGCCGTGTCAGGCAAACCATGGATAGAACCAGGTACATTAGGGTCCCCAAACCAACGTGTGGTGTTTAGTCAGGGCTGCATATCACGATAATGCTGTTTCCATTGCTGCTGCCGCTGCTACTGCTGCATCCGTCAAAGTCCTAAATGAGAAGGATGCAAAGTGGGAAGGGAGATAGACCAGAGTGGGGAGCCTGCAGCCCATGGGCCTAATCAGGCTTGCTGTGCTGGTCCTGGGGGCTAACCGAGAGGCGAGGTCCGAGTCCAGTCCAAGGTCGATGGTGCGGTATGGAGGCTGTCCGTCAAAGCTGTAGCTGGGTCCAAAGCAGGGAGTCAGGTGGGGTCAGGAACTCTGGCAGAAGAGCAGGACAGGGTGCAAGCAGGAACAGGCTAGCAACAACGTTGCTCCCACAACCTGGGACTGGGGCTGGCTGGCTTTTATCTGCCCCGAGACATAGGGAGGCCCTGGTCCACAGGTGACTCACCTCTCCTGGCATGGAGGCGAGCACTCCTCCTGTGGGAACTTAGTTTCCTCTGTCTCTCTGCCCTGAGCCTCTGCACCAGACCCAGAGGCAACCTCAGCTTCCCCTGACAGGGCTGAGAGAGGTGCACCTGCAGGCAATGGGTCCTCCATCACCTCAGGAGCCAGAGCAGACTCAGCTGATGCCTGCACCTAAGGATCCAGCACAGGTGAGGACCCTTCAGGCTCAAGCCCCAGCCCCAGCTCAGCTGGTTCTGGAGGCGGGGACTCCTGTGCAGGCTGGGATTCCTCAGGTTCAGCCTCTGAGTCCGAATCCCAGGCCATCACACTTGCTATTGATCCCCATTTGGCCTGCCAGGCTATGGTGGTCAAGCCACGCCCACCTCCTCTACCCCTAGAGGCAGTGGGGAGGGGAGTCGATTCCGTTTGCATTTAAAGGCAAGCCGATCCAATTTGCACTGCCTCCCACCGAAATCAGTTCTCACCTGAATTTTGCAGCGTACGTCTCCAGCGTAGTCACGCGTACAGAGATGTGTGCTCTAGGGTAAACCCTGCGTGTAAATGCATTTGTCAGCCAAAAAAATAACATTTAAAAGTTAACTGTATATGGAGAAGGAAATTGCTTGGCAAAAAAAAATGTGTATTACAAAAATACAAAAATGTGAATATTCAGAGAAATTGGTACTAAAATGTTTGTGAATTTTCACAAAACACATATATATACACACACATGCTGAAATGAAGGAAATTTTAAAACAAGAAAAGAAATGAAGGAAATTTAATTTAAGATTGGGAATAAAATGAGAAAATGACGTAAACTGAAGTGATCAGATTCACCCACTCCCATTACTATGCCTGACATTACATTAGGTGTGTGGCTGAGAGGCAGCAGCTGGCCCATTGAGGTCACCCAGTGAGCTTCATGCCTTAGTGAAGATTTGAACCCTGGTCCCTAGACCACTGTTTGAGAACCATTTTGACAGAAATCATAACTTTCCAAAGGAGTAAGGCATGAGTGCTGTGCTGAAATCAGTCCTCCGGTTTCGCATAAGTTTCCTTCCTTTGCAAAAGAGGCTTCCGTGTTTTTCCAGGGAACTAGGAAGTGTCCTTAGAATGTTGGCAGCTGTGGGATTTTGAGCTTATTATCTCTCTCTAGAATAAAAATGTAAGAATGACATTGCGGAGTCTCCATTGGTGGACTTGTAGTGCCGGGTCACAGTCCTACATTTGCATGAAGTCAGAGCATGGCTTCCATTGGTGGATTTGTGGTGTCGTGTGTCACAATACCGGACCAAGAGTTAAGGCAGGTTGCACAACATCAGTGTCATGACACAGGAGTGATAAGGGAGGAACACTGAGAGGGGGAAAGTAGTGATGGGTTTTAAAGCAGAATTTCTGGTAATTTCTGATTTTTTTTTAATGCAATTAAGTGATTATTGGTTGGTGGGATACAGGATAATTTATTTTTTTGGCACAACATGATAAGAAATGGCTATGCCTTCTACAGTGCATGCATTCTACAGTGATGCAGCCAAATTGTTTGGCTCAGCCTGTTCTATTTACTGCATTTACCCTTCCTGGTTTTATAACAAATGATGGCATTGTGGCTCTGAAGGGTCCTTAGGCAGAATCTTTGAAAGCCTATGTACTGAGCAAATGAAAGGAAAGGAAAAGTTCAATAAGGAAAACACAAAAGAAATGAAACTCGGGAGAAAACGAGGCCGGAACCACCAAATTCATCCCACAGCTTGGTGCTTTGTTTACTTATTTCATTTAAAAACCACGGGTACATAGGGAATAGGATGCAGATTTTTGAATTCATTAAAAGAAAGAAAGAAAGGTGAAGGAGAGAGAGAGAGAGAGAGACTCTAGACAGACATTTCCCGTCAAAGCCTGCACTTGATTATTCCTCTCCAAAAATAAGCATCTGAAAACAGGCAGCAGAAAGTTGTTTACTGTCTCAAGCGCACACAATAAGATGCTGATGAGCATCTTCCTGGTTTGTTGTCAGCCCAGTGCATTAAGGGCTGGTATAGCTTCTGCCACCTCAGCTTTCAGGGCCTGCTTTTTAAGGATGAACAGCTGTGTTTTGCTGATGAAATCAGAAGCTTAGACACTTAATAATTTCCGCCACTCTCCACCCCGATGTGTTGTTGTTGTTGTTTAGTCCTTTAGTCATGTCCGACTCTTCGTGACCCCCTGGACCAGAGCACGCCAGGCACTTCTGTCTTCCACTGCCTCCCGCAGTTTGGTCAAACTCATGCTGGTAGCTTCGAGAACACTGTCCCACCATCTCGTCCTCTGTCGTCCCCTTCTCCTTGTGCCCTCCATCTTTCCCAACATCAGGGTCTTTTCCAGGAGTCTTCTCTTCTCATGAGGTGGCCAAAGTATTGGAGCCTCAGCTTCAGGATCTGTCCTTCCAGTGAGCACTCAGGGCTGATTTCCTTCAGAATGGAGAGGTTTGATCTTCTTGCAGTCCATGGGACTCTCAAGAGTCTCCTCCAGCACCATAATTCAAAAGCATAGCTTTTACTATACGGACCTTTGTTGGCAAGGTGATGTCTCTACTTTTTAAGATGCTGTCTATGTTATGTTAGTTCAGGCATAAGAACTCTGTGGCCGCAGGTTCCTCCCCTCCTATGTTATTATTCACTGATTCGCGGAGAGAGGGAGATGGACACATGGATAGATATTTATTTTAGTTCATTAGTTATTTCATTAAATTTATACAGCGCTTTGAAGGAGGTTCTTTTTTAAAAAATAGAGTCAAACAATAAAAATTTCAGTAAAAACTAATAATTTCAAAGAGAAAACTGGCAATAAACTCAAAACAAATTCAAACACACGCCAACATTCTGCTTGCCTGGGTAGGCTTGCTTAAACAAAAAATGTTTTTTCCACAGTGCAGGACTAGCTTGTAAAACGCTCATTATATATTTACTGGATGTAGCTAGATTGACAATCACCCAAGGATGGAGAAATCTGCTGGGCTTCTCTTCCCTTCATGTTCAGTTTCAGAAGGCTCTGCATATTCACAATTTCAGAAAAGTTGAGTCATTCAAAGCATGTTTCACAAGGCACAACCAAGCCAATGGACTATGGTATCACAGGGTAGATTTATTTGTTTGTTTGTTTAATGATATTTATACATCACCTGAGGGACACGGGTGGCTCTGTGGGTTAAACCACAGAGCCTAGGGCTTGCCGATCAGAAGGTCGGCAGTTCGAATCCCTGCGATGGGGTGAGTTCCCATTGCTCGGTCCCTGCTCCTGCCAACCTAGCAGTTTGAAAGCACTTCAAAGTGCAAGTAGATAAATAGGTACCACTCCGGCGGGAAGGTAAACGGCGTTTCCGTGCGCTGCTCTGGTTCGCCAGAAGTGGCTTAGTCATACTGGCCACATGACCCGGAAGCTGTACGCTGGCTCCCTCGGCCAATAAAGCGAGATGAGTGCCACAACCCCAGAGTCGGTCATGACTGGACCTAATGGTCAGGGGTCCCTTTACCTTTATACACCAACTGATTGTAAAAAATGGAGAGAGAGAAATCCTTCACTGCAGCTTAAAGAGAATACGACAATAACATAAGGCATTATGTCCACTGAAATCCAAAAAAACTTTAGAACCATCTTTATGTATGCAACCATGGCGGCCAGAATTCTGGTAGCAAAAAATTGGAAAGATGACTTAATTTGTACAAAGCTTGACTGGCAGGTGAAGATCATAGAATAGCTGGAACTTGCGAAAATGACTGGGAGAATAAGAGGAAACTCAAATCAGAAAGTGAGCAAAGAATGGACAATATTTAAAGAATATTTAAAACAGTATTGCGAAAATGCAAATCTGCTGACAGGTGTAGATTGGATCTTGAATATTAAAATTATAAACGTAAAAAAAATATCTGGATATGTAATAGATATAACAGGAAGTGCGTGTAGATTAAGAATATTCAGAAAGCACAATGAGGTGATTCGGAAGTCAAAAATATGTGTAGATGATGTGTAGTCAATTAATGTTTAGTTGTCATTGTGGTATTGTTTTTGTCTGTTTGTGCTGTATGTTTTGCAATAAAGATAATAATAAAAAATAAGGAGAATAGAACAATAAAATCAGCAATTAAAATAGTTCAAAGAAACTATTTAAAAGGTTCAGCAAAAAAATCAAAATCAGCAATAAACTAAAGCATATTAAAGCACACATCAACATTTTACATTTCCATTTAGACTTGCCTATACAAAAATGTTTTCAGTCCAGTGAAGTCCAGTGAAGGCACCCATCTGATGTCAAAAGGAAGGCTGTCCCAAAGCCAAGGTACTGCAACACACCAGTGTTGCATTTTTCTACACATTACTTGGCTGGAGGACTGCATGGCGAAATTCAGAGAAGTGTGAACCCAGTCGGATGAGCGGGGTACAAATTTTTAAATATATCATTATTATTGAAGGATGGCTGGGTTTCGGTTCATGTAATGTTTTGAAAAAGTTCAATTCTGCCTTTTATCATATGTGGCAGACCTGTAAGGCAATAAAAACATATTGGGAGATGAGATATAATGAGCTTAAAAAAAATGTTCAAAACAACTTTTGTAAAGAAACCAGAAGCCTTTTTATTAGGAATCACAGGTGCTGAGATACCAAGGGAGCACAAAAGACTATCATGTAGGCAGCCAGGATACTCTTAGACCAAAGATGGAAGGACGATACAATACCTACAAGAGAAGAGTGGACGGTAAAACGGATGGACTATGCTGAGATGGCCAAAATGACTGGAAGAACCAGGAATCAGGACAATAAAAACTTCAGCAAAGACTGGGGGGGAATTGTAGTATATTTGACAGAACTCTGTAAATGGTTGAAAACATTAGCAGGATTGAAATAACGCTATAAAAAGAATTATAGGAGAAAATAGAGATTTATGGATAAATGGAGGATAACAGGATATGCAGTGAACATGATTATCATCGGACCCCACAAAAGGGAGAATGAAAGTCTGAGAATCCGGAGAATTCTATATTTTTGGATTGTATTTTTCTTTGTTTGTGAATGTAAAACTAAATTGCAAAACCAATAAAAATTATTATAAGAAAAGTGCAAATCTGGTGGATTTCCCTTTCAATGTGACTGGAATAAAATTTCTTCCCATCCCCCTCTCAGCCTGCTGTTGCCTTCGCCAAAGTAGAACGCTCTGAATGGGCAGCTGTATTTCTATCCAATCAGAATTAATACCGCGTTCCTTCGCTGTACTTGATTTTCTCATTGGTCCGCTGCAGCCAATGGGAGAGCTCGCTGCACATTATAGCAGGTTTTAGACCTGTAGAGCTCTGAGGTTTTGGAGCCGAAGTACTAAGGCGCTACTCTTGGAAGGTGTGTCGCTTGGGATCAAGCGGGACTCAGACAGTGTGACTCCTACGATGACAGCTCCTGGCAACTCTCGATTTAGATATTAAGAGCTAATCTAAGCGTTTGGCTTCCTCCCTGCCCCTTTCTCCTCCGCCTGGAGGCTGATCCCAGCTTGTCCGTTCTCCAAGGTGGAAATAATGATTCACCCAGACTTTAAGTTGACCTATTGAGAAACGATGGAGGGATCGACACGCTTGCCAAGAAAGATATTTGAGGCCCTCGCTGCAGGGTTGACGTTATTCCAAGTCGGAGCATAGCGTGGTAAACCGAACCACTCTTTCCAGTTATCTTGGCACTGAATCTATCGGGCTTCATCTGCTGTGTTTACTATTATGTTGGGCACAGCTACCCATGTTGCCAGGCGGTGTTCAGCGCACCCGCGATAGAAAAAAGCTTTGTAAAAAAAGAGAGCGGCAAGGTCCTCAGTGAAGTGCAAACACTGGTTTTAACTCTGTTCCCTTTTTAACCCGTCCTCTCTCAGAAGATCCAAGCCGGTTTATAATTCAGATCAAGTTTTCCTCGTCCTCTTCTTCCTCCTTCCTGAATTTACTCTGCCCAAATGTTCAAAGGGCCCCACCAGTGACAAACACGCCAGCAATTAAAAGAGCTTCTATCAGAAACCAAAGGCACTGAGTGCATTTGAGATTATATGTTCCGAGATGAAGCATACCATTCCTTATTTGCTTTGAGCTGAAAGTTATCTATCTTCGTTATTTCTTGAGAATGTTCTCATTAGAAGAGTTTCATAATATCATGGCTAGCATTTAAATCAGCATCCCTTCTGACTCTGTTCACATTTTGCATATTTGAGTATTTAATAATGAGGTTGCTGCTTTCATAGCAAAGTTCGTGCGTGGATATAGATCAGCCTTTGCCAAGCTGGTGCCCCCCAGATGTTCTGGGTGACCATTCCTACCAGCTCCAGACAGTGCTTCTTATGTAAAATAAATGCTTAAAAATGCAATGACCAATAACTTTGTCTGCAGCCTCTACATAAAATAAGTAACGTATTTTTCGCTCTATAAGATGCACCCGACCATAAGACGCACCTAGTTTTTAGAGGAGGAAAACAAGAAAAGCCAGCAATAGCCGCAGATACGCTCACTCAGTGCAGCTCTTTAAAGCTAGAGCGGCTCTTGCTGGCTTTTCCAGGAAATGGGAGAAGGGACTGACGGGCTGCTCTCCGTCCCTTCTCCCACCTCCCTGAAAAGCCAGAGCAAGCTGCGCTCCTCTGCTGAACCCAGCAGAGCAAGAGTGAGAGCTGTGCAGCGCCTCTTGCTCTGCTGGCTTCCCAGCGAAGCAGGATGAGGGACAGAAGGGGCTCCATAAGGGTCCCTTTTCTCGTCTCCCTTTTCTCTGCTACGATAAGTGCGAAGTGTTTTGGAAGGGGTTCCATGCAGGTCTACCTATTTGTACTTCCTGAAACAATCCTGCTGCCCTGGGCTGCTTTGGGAGAAAGGACAGAGCAGAAAGTTAACAAATTAATTAAATAAAATTAAATATTTGACGTGAAACACAGCCATCCTTTGGGGCGGGGAGGGAACCTTCACAATTTGCATTTCTCAGGATTTTGCAGCGCAGTTCAGCAGCCGAGTAATATGTGCAAAAAATCATGCGCTGGAGCGAATTGTATGTAAACATACATATATGAGCAAAAATATACAACAATGCACTTAATTGGAGGAAATTGCTTTACAAAAACATACATACATGATTTTTTTGTTTGAAAAAAAAACATGCATGCATTTCTTACTATATAATTCAATTATAAGCCAGCATCACTCTGTCTTCCAAAGTATTTGCCTTTACGCATCCAGTTCCTCTTGTTTCTGCTGTGAGAGACAACTGTCAGTCAGTATTCTTTGCCTATTGGGCAAACTGAGTCTGGGAAAACTAATGGATTGTAGCTCATGTTTAGCACTCATCGTTGAGCTGGGGGGGGAGGGAACTCCCCTCCCTTAAAATACTTTTAGCTACAGGTTTTATTTTTATTGAATTTCTGCAAAACTTAGGGTTCCCCTGAATCTGCTGATTGCTCCCTCTTGTGCATGGGATTGCTGCTTGGGCTAAAAAAGGAAAGACACTCACATCCTGGAGACTGGAAATAGGAGGAATGATATAATCGTTGGCCAATGTTAGAACAGCAACTTTGCACCAGGCATCTTGCAAAACTCCGCTCGGGTCACCCCGCAATTGATACTTGCCTACAGAGTCTGGATTTGCATCAAAATATCCCAGGATGTGCCCTTTGCCCATTGGGGGGATTTGGGCTTGGGGATCCGGGCAGCCTCACTTCCGCTCCACGTTCTGCAGCTGGAGATGACGGCTGCAGAGTCATTGCCCTTCACCATTCCAAATGTTAGCCTCAGAGGTTGACGCCTCTCCCTTGGCAACCGGACCACAACAGAGATTCGCTTTCAGTTGCCCCCACTTTCTCTAGACCTCCTCCTTCAGGGCGGAAGGTACACACAGAGGGGGGAGGGTGCTATTCTATTTAAGGTGTGTTGTCGTCAGGCCGTGTGAATGTACAGTGGTGCCTCGCAAGACGAAATTAATCCGTTCCGCGAGTATCTTCGTCTAGCGGTTTTTTCGTCTTGCGAAGCAACCCTATTAGCGGCTTAGCGGATTAGCGCTATTAGCAGTTTAGCGGCTATTAAGGGCTTAGCGGCTTAGCGGCTTAGCTGCTAAAAGGCTATTAAAGGTTTAGCAGCTTAGAAAAAGGGGGGGGAGCGGAAAAAAATCTCAAGACTCGCAAGACATTTTCGTCTTGCGAAGCAAGCCCATAGGGAAATTCGTCCTGCGAAGCGCATTGAAAAATGGAAGACCCTTTCATCTAGCGGGTTTTCCGTCTTGCGAGGCATTCGTCTTGCGGGGCACCACCGTATCTGGAGAATGAGCGATGGCCGGGCACATTTGAGATGGCTAAAAATCAGGCTGCTCCCATTTCAACTCTGGTCTCTTTGAAGGAGGGGTCCGGATCAAGTCTGCAAGATCACTCTGTGTGTGTGTGTGTGTGTGTGTGTGTGTGTGTGTGTGTGTAAAAGGGCCTTCTATATTCCTTGTGTCAGAGGTGGGATTTCTTCTTCTCTGAGAGAGACCTAGACAAAGTATTTCCCCACTGCTGTGCTAGGCAGAGTCTGACCCTCTCCAGTGTGTGTGTTGTGTTGACTTTGATGAAAACCACTCGCTGCTGCCTAGATGATCTGCTCCAGTCAGCCGAGGTGGTTTTCCTCCTTTTTAAAAAATAAAATGAAATAAATTTCATTGGTTTTACATAAGTTTTGACACAATAAATGTAACCGTTCCAAAACATAGAAATAAAAAGGTTATTTCGAACCTACAGACCTTCTCCCCTCCCTCCATGCGTTCCATTTCCAAAGATTTTTTTTTCTTTTTTCTGCATCATTTACCGTTATCCATCTGTTATATAATCATCGTAACCAAAATTCGTTTCACGTTACAAGTGTCATTGTATCCCTGCCAATGATTTTAACTACAGGTAGGTAGCCGTGTTGGTCTGCCATAGTCGAAACAAAATTTAAAAAATCCTTCCAGTAGTACCTTAGAGACCAGCTAAGTTTGTTATTAAAGGGACGCGGGTGGCGCTGTGGGTTAAACCACAGAGCCTAGGACTTGCCGATCAGAAGGTCGGCAGTTCGAATCCCCGCGACGGGGTGAGCTCCCGTTGCTCTGTCCCTGCTCCTGCCAACCTAGCATTTCAAAAGCACGTCAAAGTGCAAGTAGATAAATAGGTACCGCTCTGGCGGGAAGGTAAACGGCGTTTCCGTGCGCTGCTCTGGTTCGCCAGAAGCGGCTTATCGATTTTCCAATAAAAACCATGCAATTAATATATCCAATCATAATACTCCAATTAAAATAAAAAACTAAAATAAAAAAACCAAATTATAGTCCAAATTATAATTGTTAATTTTTCGGAGCTCTCCAAGGTCTGGATCTCTAAAGCATATCTCCACATCTCAGTCCTGCCTCTCCTTGTTTTTTCCATATTTTCCACATCTCGATTTTGACGCTTTATAATTCTCCGTCCCTGAGTTCACGATTCTCAATCATGTCAAACATCATATACTTTCATCTGTCGAGTACAGCTTTATTAGTATATATTTTCCCAACTGCCTTTTTTATCAGCGCAGCTTCCTCTGACTCCATTCCAATCCAGCATGTTGTCAAAGTCTGTTACCTGAAGTTTAATGGCGCAGCAACTCCCAATCATTAATTGTCCAAACCTTCCTTTAGAGTTTTATTGAACCAGTACCTTCCAAGCTGGGACGCGGGTGGAGCTGTGGGTTAAATCACAGAGCTTGTTGATCAGAAGGTCGGCAGTTCAAATCCCCGAGGCGTGATGAGCTCCCGTTGCTCGGTCCCTGCTCCTGCCAACCTAACAGTTCGAAAGCACGTCAAAGTGCAAGTAGATAAATAGGTACCACTGCAGCGAGAAGGTAAATGGCATTTCCGTGCGCTGCTCTGGTTCACCAGAAGCGGCTTAGTCATGCTGGCCACATGACCCGGAAGCTGTGCGCAGGCTCCCTCGGCCAGTAAAGCGAGATGAGCGCCGCAACCCCAGAGTCGGCCACGACTGGACCTAATGGTCAGGGGTCCCTTTACCTTTACTTACTTTCCAAGTTAAATTGTTAGGCAAAGCTGTTTGCAATATTACAATGTAGATAAACTGTATTCCACAAATATCAGACCTTTGGTGATCAACTAGCCTTTGGAGACCGCACCCTCCCCCCTCTGGACCCCAGAGGGGGAGCTGATAGACACCATTTAGCCTTCTCTCTTGCTCATAGTGAAAATGAATGACTTCTGCAAACAGCTGCACTGTGTAATGTTCCAAGTTGTTATTCAAATCATTGCAGAAATCAGCCAGCATGTAACTCCTGCTTCAGAAGGGAGTTCTGGTTTAGCCATCCATACTGTAGCTAGAAAGGGACGCGGGTGGCGCTGTGGTCCAAACCACAGAGCCTAGGACTTGCCGATCAGAAGGTCGGCGGTTCGAATCCCCACGACAGGGTGAGCACCCGTTGCACGGTCCCTGCTCCTGCCAACCTAGCAGTTCGAAAGCACGTCAAAGTGGAAGTAGATAAATAGGTACCGCTCCAGCGGGAAGGTAAACGGCGTTTCCGTGCGCTGCTCTGGTTCGCCAGAAGCGGCTTAGTCATGCTGGCCACATGACCCGGAAGCTGTACGCCGGCTCCCTCGGCCAGTAAAGCGAGATGAGCGCCGCAACCCCAGAATCGGCCAAGACTGGACCTAATGGTCAGGGGTCCCTTTACCTTTACTGTAGCTAGAGACTTTCCACCCCTACTGTGGCCGGAGGCTATTCATGCCTACAGCAGCTCTTCATTGGCCTGCCTCTCATCTCATCCTTGTGTTCATGGAGGGAATCATGCAATATCCGCTGGCGGGTGGTACATCTGCCGGTTTGGACAGAGGAAGGGATTTGCCCGTGGCTCTTTCGGAAACGAACCCTACTCTATCCCCAGTGTCGCTGTCTGCAGCTGTGGCTGACATTTCCTGATACGGCTCTTCTGATAATTAAGATCGGTCTTGACCTTGCGCTTTGTGCAAAGCCTCAACCGGATCTCTCTCTCTCCTCCTCTCCTTTAGAAGGAGCACTCAGCTCTAATGAAGGCTACAAACACCCTCCAGCTTCCTGCCTGATTTGTGACCTTAGCAGGTGTCCACTGAGGACTGGCCACTTGTTAATTTTAATTGATTGTCATGATTTACATCTGAGCGGGGCCTCGCTTTCGCGCACCTCCAGGGTCAAGGAGCGTTATTCCGAAAACCAGGAGACTTCGCGTTTCCAACGCAGCCTAGCTGGCAAATGAATGGCAATAAATAATAATTCCATCTGGGAGAGCAAAGGCAGACGGTTGAGAAATGAATTCATTCATTAGCCATGATTGCGTCGCTGGAGGAAGGAGGGGTGGAGGAAAATCTGGGAGACGGGACTGAGGAAATGTAAGCTTAAACTTTTGCTCTTTTTCTCAAGAAACATCCATATAGGAATACAGGGTGCCGGCTTACAGTGAGTCAAAATGTTGGTCCATTTAGTTCAGTGATGTCTGCACTGCACATTCCCAACCCTACCTGCAGAGGCTGGGGAACAGAGACCTTCTGCCAGCAAAGCAGTTATACTGTGATGGCCTGGGACTCAGGTTTGGGCTCAAAACCAGAGGAGTCTCAGTCCGCACCGGATCCTTTGCCTCAGGCAGCATCTGAACCTAGTCTGGGGCCTGATTCTGAAGAGCCCCAGTCTGCACAGGTTCCCCTGCAGCAAACACCAGCTGGGCCAAGTCAGGGGCCTGAGCCTGCCCTGGCTCCAGATGCTGGGATGACCTCGTTGCCTCCAGCTGGACCATCACTTACAGCTGCTCCACTACCGGTTGGGTCAGGGGAGGCTGAGGCAGCCCCTGGGTCTAGTAACCCACCGATGTCTCCCGAGCTGCAGAGACTAAGGTCTGAGAGAAGGAGAGACCTGAATACTCGCAGGAGGAGTGCTCGCCTTCGGGCGAGACAGGGAGGTGAGTCACCAGGGGATCAGGACTGGCCGTTACCCCGACAAAGATAAATGGCTGTCGGACCCCGCCCCAGGTTGTGAGAGTAACATTGCTGTTTGCTAGTAGCTGCCTGAGACCCTGTGCCGGTCCTTGCCTGGTTTCCTGCCCGGTGTCCTGCCTTGGCCCTGTCGGACTGACTCCTAGCAGAAAGTTTGGATTCTGGACCGGACCTGGACTGCGTTGCTCGGGTTAACCCCCGGGCCCAGCACATACAAGCTTTTGAAATAAATATAAGCAGCAGGACTATAAGTCCGGAAACACGTTAGCAGAAACCTGTGAACTTAACAGAGAGGATACTTCTAGCTGACATTTCTGGGCTGGCTTCCACAAGGGCCACAGTCTCCATGTTGAGAAGTTACCTATCAGCTCTTTGAAGGGTCAGGGATTTGGGTAACTGGGTTGTGGAATGGAGGGGAGGGTGTTGTCCGTCTGAGGGGGCCAGAAATGGGCTCAAAGTCCAAACCAGGCAGCAGCTGAGTCCCAGGACTGCAAACAAGGATGGGAGAGGTCAGAATCGGGCTATTCAAAGCAGGGCGGGGGATCAAGAGGAGAGAGAAAATCAGTCTTTGCACATTCCAACACAGACTTGCATCTCCCAGACTATCACGTGGATCCGAACACAGATATCTGCTTCTGTTTGCAGTTTGAAAATGTGCCGACGCGAGTTCTCAGCTCAAAAAACAGATCGACGTGGAACTCTCTCTACACCAAGGGAGGAGGCCAGAGCCAATGAGAGGAGGCAGTCGCTGGTATTGTTATTATATGAACAATATTATATATTTATTTATACCCCAGGGCCCAGAAGTCTGGAAGAAGAGCCCTGGTGGGGCCTGACCAGCTTGCCTATGTTTTGTGCAATTCTTAACAAAATATATATTTTGTGTTCAATGCATGCACGATTCTGAATGGCGGCGTTTGAATTTATGCTGCAAACAGAGCATTTCCGACTCTATACGAACATTCGCTTTTGCACTTTGACGGCGTGACAGCGCAGCCCTCGTTTTCTTACGTGCATTTGAACTTTTCCCACGAGTGAAACACCGTGTGGATGCAACAAAGCTGTTGCGCGATGCATGTTGCGTTGTGCTACGCACACGAGTTGAGCATGTCTGGTTAGTTTGGCAAGAGTTGTGAGGACGTTTATACTATTGATATTACTCAGTAGAATCTTAATATTCTCAGGCTGAGGTCGAGGGGGAACCCCTGTGGGGCAGCCTCTACTGCCCCCCACCCCCAGCAGAAATCTGTAAATGTAAATTGAAAACTTGTTTCATCTTTTGGATCAAATGGAGCGCTGGCTACCCTGTAATAATCAGGCACAATTTAAAGTGCTGGCATTGAGATAGACATCCCTACACAGCTTAGGTCCAAGCTATTTGAAAGACTGTATCCCCTCATATGCACCTGCCTGGGTTTTGAGATCTTAAGGGGAGGCCCTTCTTTCAGTCCCAACCCAACCCCCCCACCGGCATGCTTGGTGGGGACACTTGAGAGGGCCTTCTTGGTGGTGGCTTCTCCCAGACTTTGGAATTCCCTCCCTAGAGAAGCTAGACTGGCTCCCTCTTTGTGGTCCTTCCCCTGGCAGTTGAAGGCTTTCTTGCTTCAACAGGCTGCTTTTAATGAAAAGGCTGGTGCTGTGCTGTTTTTTATTATCTGATTTTAATTATATTAATGTTTAATTTATTTTTAATGATTTTAGTGATGGGGGGGCATGATTTTAGCTCACGTCCCTGCCAGGAAAAATGTCAGGGAAGAAGAAGAAGAAGAAGAAGAAGAAGAAGAAGAAGAAGAAGAAGAAGAAGAAGAAGAAGAAAAAGAAGAAGAAGAAGAATGCTCTGCTTCTGCTTCTGTTGGTGTGAGACAGCTTGGGAGGATTTGAAATGTTTTCAACGATGGATATTTGTGCTGCTACTTTATTTCATTTTCATTTTCATTTTTGTTTTATATAACTGTGTTTTGGCTTTCTGTGCTCCTTTTGGAGGTCACAAGGGTAAGGCTCCTTTCAGAGCTGGCATGGAAGAAGGAGGGAGGGAAGGGGCAGAACAGAGAGGGAAACAGCAAATTGATTTATTTATTACATTTATATCTCACCTTTCCTCTTAGAAGCTCAAGATGATGCACATGATTCTTTCTCTCCCCCCCCCCATTTAATCCCCACAACAATCCTGAAATCTAGGTTTGGCTGCGAGGCAGTGACTGGCCCAAGGCCACCTAGTGAGCTTTATGGCTGAGTGGGGCTGTCAGCCCTGTGTGGGATCACCAGCCTCATATAAGCAACATGCTTAAGTCCATTTAATGCATGAAGGGGTTAAGACCATAGAGTAAGCTGTCCTGCCAGGCTTAGCTGACTTTGGGAGAGACTAAGGCATCCATTAGGGATGTGGGTGGCGCTGTGGGTTAAACCACAGAGCCTAGGACTTGCCGATCAGAAGGTTGGCGGTTCAAATCTCCGCGACGGGGTGAGCTCCGGTTGCTCGGTCCCTGCTCCTGCCAACCTAGCAGTTCAAAAGCACGTCAAAGTGCAAGTAGATAAATAGGTACAGCTCCGGCGGGAAGGTAAACGGCATTTCCGTGCGCTGCTCTGGTTCGCCAGAAGCGGCTTAGTCATGCTGGCCACATGACCCAGAACATGACACCAGCTCCCTCGGCCAATAAAGCGAGATGAGCGCCGCAACCCCAGAGTCGGTCATGACTGGACTAATGATCAGGGGTCCCTTTACCTTTAAGTCACCCATTTGTTCCCCTCAGTCTACCTGAGAGGCTCCACGTGTGGAGAGAGAGAGAGAGAGAGAGAGAGAGAGAGAGAAAGGGGGGAAGAGAAAGAGAGAGAGAATCAGGTACACAAATACAATACTGGGCTTGGGCAGCTAGGCTCTCAATGCAGGGATTTATGGAATAAATGGGCAACCACTAATCCTTTTGTCTAAAAGCACTAGGCAACCAATGTTCCCAGTAAAGGGTGCTTCCTCCTTCATTCAGATAATCTATCAAAGCAGCAACCCCTCCATAAAACCCAGGCACACGTCTTGCTATTCACAGCCTCCCCGAGCAGACGTCCTCCCTTGCAAATATTCTGCCGCTGCAATTAAAGGAACATCTGGCCTTTGAAGGAAAACGTTGCACTCGCAAAGACCTCTCCTCCCTTCTGTTATCTGCATACCATTCATAGCGCCCAAGTCCTTGGACCGTTGTGCAGAAGCCAGAAGGCGTACGCAACAACAACGCATCCTGCGCTCTGCAGAGGAGGAGAACCACTGCTTCAAAACCACAACGCAAAACGGAGCTGGGTCAAACTGAGCTGTGGACCTTCCTTCCTCAGCTTTAAGTCAATGGTTTTAAGGGCCTTGCTGGATTAGACCAAAGATCTACCTAGCACCCCGAGCCCAGTTGTAAGGAATTCTCATCGTAGCAAAGAGGCGGACCTCCATGATAGTAACATCTGCTATGCATGCAGAAGGGCCAAGCTGCAATTTCTTGCATCTCCAGGCAGGATGCATCCCTGGAGAGCTACTGCCAGTCAGTGTAGATCGGGCTTCCTCAACCTCGGCCCTCCAGACGTTTTTGGCCTACAACTGCCATGATCCCTAGCTAGCAGGACCAGGGGTCATGGATGATGGGAATTGTAGTCTCAAAACATCTGGAGGGCCGAGGTTGAGGAAGCCTGGTGTAGAGAATACTGAGCTACATGGATCAGATTTTTGAGTCAGTGTAAGTCAGGGATGCGGGTGGCACTGTGGGTTAAACCACAGAGCCTAGGGCTTGCCGATCAGAAGGTCGGCCGTTCGAATCCCCACAACGGGGTGAGCTCCCATTGCTCGGTCCCTGCTCCTGCCAACCTAGCAGTTTGAAAGCACGTCAAAGTGCAAGTAGATAAATAGGTACCGCTCCGGCAGGAAGGTAAACGGTGTTTCCATGCACTGCTCTGGTTCGCCAGAAGCAGCTTAGTCATGCTGGCCACATGACTCAGAAGCTGTCTGCGGACAAACGCCAGCTCCCTCGGCCAGTAAAGCGAGATGAGTGCTGCAACCCCAGAGTCATCCGCAACTGGACCTAATAGTCAGGGGTCCCTTTACCTTTAAGGCAGCTGTCAAGGACTGGCAAGTGTGCATGGGGAGAAAGGGGTTTGAGTCTGACTTGGGAGAGGGGAGCAGTGATTTGTAGGGAACTGTCCCAGCCAGGAGGCAAGAATCGGAATCAGGGGAAGCTTCAGAGCTGGAGGGTGGAGCACAGGATGGGGGGAAGAAGAGATTAGGCAAGGTCAGACTGAAGAGTGGTGCTGTGGTCTAAACCACTGAGCCTCTTGGGCTTGCCGATCGGAAGGTCGGTGGTTTGAATCCCCATGATGGGGTGAGCTCCTGTTGCTCTATCCCAGCTGCTGCCAACCTAGCAGTTCCAAAACATGTCAAGTAGATAAATAGGTACCACTGCGTTGGGAAGGTAAACGGCATTTCCGTGCACTGCTCTGGTTCGCCAGAAGCGGCTTAGTCATGCTGGCCACATGCCCAGAAGCTGTACCCCAGCTCCCTCAGCCAATAAAGCGAGATCAGCGCCGCAACCCCAGAGTTGGCCACGGCTGGACCTAATGGTCAGGGGTCCCCAAACATCACCCTCAGGAAAGAATCATCCACGTAGAACCAGAACCACCCCAAAGTGGTTCCACCCACCCCTACCTTGGTCAGCTGCTCCAGAAGGATGCCATGGTTGATGGTATCGAAAGCCGCCAAGAGGTCGAGGAGAGTGAACAGGGACACATTTCCCCTGTCTCTCTCCCAACAGAGGTCATTATGAAGGGCGACCAAAGCAGTTTCTGGGCCTAAACTGGGCCTAAACCCCAATTGAAGAGGATCTAGATCAGGAGTCAGCAAACTTTTTCAGCAGGGGGCCGGTCCACTGTCCCTCAGACCTTGTGGGGGGCCGGACTATATTTTTTTTGGGGGGGGGGGACGAATGAATTCCTATGCCCCACAAATAACCCAGAGATGCATTTTAAATAAAAGGGCACATTCCACTCATGTAAAAACACGCTGATTCCTGAACCGTCCACGGGCCAGATTTAGAAGGCGATTGGGCCGGATCTGGTCCCCAGGCCTTAGTTTGCCTACGCATGATCTAGACAATCAATTTCCTCCCAGAGTGCCTGGATCTGGTCCGTGACCACCTGCTCAAGAACCTTGCCCAAGAAGGGGAGATCGGCTGTTACTTAGATTTCCCAAGCTCAGAGAGCATTTATTAAGGAGCAGTTTTACCACCGCCTCCTTCAAGCAGGCAAGGACCAGCCCCTCTCACAAGGAGGCATTAATCACCTCCTTGGCCCAGTTAGCTGTCCTCACCCGGCTAGTTTTTATCAGCCAAGAGGAGCAAGGGTCCATAGAGCAAGTACCGTATTTTTTGCTCTATAAGTCTCACTATTTCCCTCCTAAAAAGTAAGGGGAAATGTGTGTGGGTCTTATGGAGCGAATGCAGGCTGCGCAGCTATCACAGAAGCCAGAACAGCAAGAGGAATTGCTGCTTCCACTGCGCAGCGATCCCTCTTGCTGTTCTGGCTTCTGAGATTCAGAATATATTTTTTCTTGTTTTCCTCCTCCAAAAACTAGGTGCGTCTTGTGGTCTGGTGCGTCTTATAGAGCGAAAAATACGGTAGCTGCCCTGGCTCACCCAAGTACCTTGCCCACAACTTTGATCCTTACCAACTGAATACCAGCCTCTGGTATTGCAGAATTTGGATTAGGGAGGGGGTGAGACCCTGGTTCTGGCCCCTTGAGAAATGACAGTGTCACACAACTCCAAACCATTCCCTCCATCTATCCAAATGTTCGATTTTCTGTCCGCTTCCCAAATCGTCCCCATATGTCAGCTGACACTAGCTTGTCATCAGGCTGACATCTAAGGGCAGACATATGAAGGCTTTCTCCATTCTTGGAAAAGGCTGTTGTTTTTTTGGGTTCTTGGAAATGAAGATGTTTTAAAAAGAAGAAGTCGTTTGCAACAGATGTTCTGCGTAAATGTGGGAATCGGGGGGTATTCGTATCAACGCTTGCCATCTCCCTAAATGAATCACCACCCTGTGATCCTCGGATGAAGGCCGGAATAGGGATTTAATAGATGACAGAAATAGCGATGCTTAGAAAAGCAAAGAAGAGAGATGTAGCTGTCTTGAAATCCAAATGGCGTCTCTTGGTGCTCAAAAGTAAGGAGTAAAAAAACCCCAAAAAATCAGCATTTATGTCTGTCTCTTTTGTGGAGACGAGAAGAACTTCGAAGAAATTCCATGGTCTCATGGTCAGGAAATAAGCACCACTGCAAGGATGAACAGGACTTTTCTAAATGCTTAGGAGTTTGCAGCTCTTAGCAATAAGTCTCTGAGATATGTCACATGGTCACTTGGTCCTCCCAAGCCAAAATGTCCCTCCAAACAGCTGGCTCATTCCATATACAATTGGATCCAGGATTGGCAGAAACATACAAACTGATAAATGGGTGTCTCTGAGCCATGTACAGAGTGCTCCCTACGTATCACTGTGGAAACAGAGGCCAGCCACCACATTCAGGATTATGGGGAATCATGTCAGATTCTGGGCAAGCTTGACTTCTGGCCTCCCAATTTACAGAAAGTGAGTCCTTTTGCCATTTACAGGATTTCACCATTTCATCTTACAGGAATACAGAACATTCAAACCTAAGATTATCTAATAGCCAATTTGGGGGCTGAATTCCAGTGGCTACATAGCCAAATCAGGGTCACTGAGGAACTAGAGAGATATCAGCAGGCTAAGAGGAACTCTGAGGTTTGCAAATATAGATACAGATATGGAAAATCTAAGGTGTTCAACAGGAATAAAACAGCCATTAAGGTTTGAGTATGTTAAGTGGCAATGGAGAGAGAGAGAAAGGAAAAGTACAGCGGACAGCAGGGGAGATGGAATGGAATATCATGAAAAGGGGCATGCCTGCGAGGCTGGAACCCTGAACAGGAGCATTTTACACTACAACATTTTGTTGCAGCCTCCGCTCATATAGTTATATTTCCAGACTCAGACAGGACTCCCATAAGCTTCCCAGCATGAGGGAGTAGATCTGTTCATCTTTTGCCAAGGGCACAGGAGAGGTTATCCTGAGGTTCTCTGCGCTTCCTTCTGGAATGTTCTCCGGGGAGTTACTTTTAGCTCTTCTCCCGAGACAGGGCCCAGCTACTCTGTCTCCTCTTCCATCCTTCTCGCTGGGAAATGAGGGGGAAGTTCATATTAACACTTGGTTAAGAAATACAAATTTTGCCCATTCAGTGCCAGGGATCCATTTACAGCCGCCTCCAGCTCCTGATCTATTGCTTGGGAGCCGGACTGGCAAAATACTGTTGCCAAAACGCCATAATTAGTGACCACGCCAACAGGCACACTGGCAACCTTTCCCTCAGTCCAGTATGAGTCACAGTCCCTTCCTTTTTTCAGATGAACATGCCAAAGCTTTGGCGCTGTGGGCAGCTGTGGCGACAGCAGCGCTGTGAGGCACATAAATAGCTCTTTTTTCATACGAACAGCAGGTGATGGGATTTTGTTTTCCCTCAGTTACTCATTTGCTGTATCCCCCGCCTTCCTTTCGCCCCAGCACCGATCCTGCCTTTTTTAAAAAACAAAACAAAACAGCACTTTATACTTGAGGCGACGTAGTGGAGCCTTCAAACAGAAGCCTTATTATTTTGAGAGAGAGAGAGAGAGAGAGAGAGACTCACTAGCTCACCGAATCCTGGGCATAGGGCAACATCCATTTCCAAGTCTCTTGAGAGTTTTCAAAAATGTGAATTCTGTGGGATTAAAATGAAGGGGTTGGGAATCAAAGACCTGCGACACTGTGCCCATGGGCCCAAAATTGCTTTATAGGGTTTGCTTTCCTAAAAAAGAAAAAAGTCTCTTCCTCACACCTCACAGCCAGGCAAAATACTTACGAATCCAATGGGAGTCTCAAATGGAGTTTGTGGTGCCCAGTACGTTTCTGAGCACAATTCAAAGTGTTGGTGCTGACCTTTAAAGCCTTAAACCATGGGTAGGCAAACTAAGGCCCATTACTTACATCATAGGAGCCTACACAACACAAAACACTGTTGCCGTATGTAGGTTTTATTTTATTTGTTTTTTATCTTATATTTTGGAAATGTACATCCAGGTTTTTTCCCCTTTAAATATTTTGGGGGGCCTGAAGCTATAGCTTGTTTAGCTTATACAGTGGTACCTCGAGTTAAGTACTTAATTCGTTCCGGAGGTCAGTACTTAACCTGAAACTGTTCTTAACCTGAAGCACCACTTTAGCTAATGGGGCCTCCTGCTGCTGCCGCGCCGCCGGAGCACGATTTCTGTTCTCATCCTGAAGCAAAATTCTTAACCTGAAGCACTATTTCTGGGTTAGCGGAGTCTGTAACCTGAAGCGTATGTAACCTGAAGCGTATGTAACCCGAGGTACCACTGTACGTAAATCTGGCACTGGGTCCACTGCTTTTTCCCTGGCTGCTCCTGATGATGATGATGAGAATCTAGTGCCATTTCCCACCCACCCACGGTTTCTCCCTCCTTCCTTTCTGGATTAGACCCAGAGCTGATCACAGCCACTCAGGGATGTCAACATGTTACTTTTGTGGGGTACGTGGTATTAATTTCTGCAAGCACCCTGGAGCCCGTGTGTGAAATCCTACCAGTGGGCAACGCTTATAAACTCTGCAAACTTGCTTTTTGTGGATTTTAATGAGTTGGCATTTGTCTTTTGTATTAAAGATAGCAGCCCAGCTGCCTGCATTTGTGGACTCTTCGTGGGGGTGGCTAAGGACTCTCCTTCGAGGCTCTGTATCCTGCCCTGATTTGCTCCTGCAATTCAGAATTGCCCTGATCCTGGCAGCAAGGCCTCATTCATTCATGCAAGCGTGAATTGGCCCTGCACCTCCACCTATACGCTCCCGCCAAATGAAAATCTTGTCTGCGGAGAGAGAGGCAAAAGCTCACCTCCTTTCCACATTCGCTTTGGGCTGCACGCCGTATGATGTAGGTTGTGTACTACCTACGGGACCGCCTCTCCTGGTATGTCCCACAGAGGAACTTACGGTCTTCAAATAAAAACATCCTGAAGGTCCCAGACCACAGAGAGGTTAGGCTGGCCTCAACTAGAGCCAGGGCTTTTTCGGCTGTGGCTCCAATCTGGTGGAACGCTCTGTCACAAGAGAGTAGGGCCCGTGGGACCTGACATCTTTCTGCAGGGCCTGCAAGACAGAGCTGTTCCACCAGGCCTTTGGTCAGGGCGCAGCCTGACTCCCTCCTCTGGCAATCTCCACAGAACTTTAGCTTAATGGTTGCCAACAATTTGATTTTAATTAATTTTTATAATGAAATGTTTTTAGAATCTTGTACTATTTTATTGTTGTTAGCCGCCCTGAGCCCGGCTTCGGCTGGGGAGGGCGGGATATAAATAAATATTATTATTATTATTATTATTATTATTATTACTACTACTACACAATTCTTAAGACCCACCCACCCATAGATTTATGGGAACTGTAGTTTGGGAAGGGTGCTAATAATAATATTATAATAATTATTATTTATATCACGCCCGTCTGGCTGGGTTTCCCCAGCCACTCTGGGCGGCTTCCAGCAAAATATTAAAAAACAATAATTCATCAAATATTAAAAGCTTCCCTAAACAGGTCTGCCCTCAGATGTTGTCTAAAAGTCAGATAGTTGTTTATCTTCTTGACATCTGATGGGAGGGCGTTCCACAGGGCGGGCGCCACTACTGAGAAGGCTCTCTGCCTGGTTCCCTGTAGCTTTGCTTCTCACAGTGAGGGAACCGCCAGAAGGCCCTCAATGCTGGACCTCAGTGTCCGGGCTGAACGATGGGGGTGGAGACGCTCCTTCAGGTATACTGGGCCGAGGCCGTTTAGGGCTTTAAAGGTCAACACCAACACTTTGAATTGTGCTCTGAAATGTACTGGGAGCCAACATAGGTCTTTCAAGACCGGTGTTATGTGGTACCGGCAGCCACTCCCAGTCACCATTCTGGCTGCCGCATTCTGGATTAGTTGTAGTTTCTGAGTCACCTTCAAAGGTAGCCCCACGTAGAGCGCATTGCAGTAGTCCAAGCGGGAGATAACTAGAGCATGCACCACTCTGGCAAGACTGACAGTGTGCGGGCAGGTAGGGTCTCAGCCTGCGTACCAGATGGAGTTGGTAGACATAAATACCTGGTTTGCCCCCAACCTCAGATCCTGACCCCTTTCAACACCCCAAAGATTGCTCCCCTCCCCAACGAAGCCAATGGGGAGACACCATGTGGGGGATTAGTAGTTTATTTTATTTTTTGGCATATGGCTTAGAGTGCCTTCGCGGCAGTCCCCTCTTGGCCTTTTGAACCTCGGATGCTATTTCTGGGCAGGCAGCCTGTCTCCCTAGCAGATGGTGATGATGGTTGAAGAGCCAGAGGAGGAGAGCGGCTCTTGCATTGGACTGCCGGAGAGTGGAGGGAGGTCTCAGATGGCCCTCCAGGAATGTCTAAGTGGCACATGATGCCGAAAGGGTTATGTCAGCTCTGGCGGCGATGACTGAGACACTAAGAATAGCCCGTGCCCAGTTTGGAAAGGTGTGGGACTTAGGGAACAAAGCTTAATGGTTTGAATCAGGGGGCAGAAGACCTGCTGGATGGTTGTAGAGACTCAGTGTTGGAAGCTGCACGTGGCTTAGGCTTATTTAACTGCTTATATAATCTGTTGCCTTCATGTCCCATCTTTCATCCAAGAGCTCAAGGTGGCCTACGTAGTTCTCTCCTGTCAGTTTGCATTTCTTAGCACAGAAAGTATTGATCTGATGTGTAGAGATCTTTCCTGTTCTAATTCATTCAACAGAGTTCTGGAAGCTCCTAAAAGCTTCTCTGCATGAGAGAAGCAGGCAGAAGGGTTAGTGATTGTTTGGGTTGTACCTTCAGGGAAGCTGGTTTGAGCTGATTATCTCTCTTCCAATTAAGGTCATGCTGACTATAAATATAGGTCAGAAGGAGTCTGGGTTTTACCTTTCTCTTTCTATCTCTCTTCCTTCTGGTGTGGTGTTCTGTACATAGTATGCTTAGTACTAGGGTTTAGTCTTATTATAAGTTAAGTTTATAATTTTTTGTAAGTGCGGCAACTGGAATTTTATGGACTGTGCCTGTTAAGTTGTGGATGAACATATCAGATGACACAGCGATTCTTCAGACAGCTCTTGTTTATTCACAGGCCCAGAACAGAACTGAACTGAAGGGTTCAGCCAGCCTGCTTATATAGAGCTCCAGTACAACGCAACTGTAACAACTTTCTGTAACTATTCAATCACTGAACGTCACCTTCCATCCCTTATTTGCATATGTGGACCTGAGTGAAAACTATCTACAGTATCCCCCTGCTGGCCCAGGGTGAGAACTTCAGTACATAACAGTGCCAATCCTGAATGTACTGGATCGGTGACCATTATTCTCGTTTGCCTTCAGCACAAGTAAAAGCTCTGCTGAATGAAATATTGCCTCTGGTCTATTTTTTTAATCTCTGCTGTTGTGTTTTAAGTTTTTCCTCCACACGTATGACCTCTCCTCCTCCTTGTTTTATCTTCAAAACAGCCCTGTGACGCAGCTTGGGCTGAGAGGGGCAGTGACTGGCCCAAGGCCACCCAGTGAGCTTCATGGCTAAATTGGGGATTCGAACCCTGGTCTCCTGGGTCCTAGTCTGACACTCTCACCACTGCAGCACACTTCTGGACTGCAGTTCCCATCAGCCAACATGGCCAAGCTGATTTAACTCTTGCGTTGCCAGAATGTTAAAATGAGCCTGCCAGTGACAAACATGAATGTCATTAAATGTTTTCCCATCGTATTAAAAGATCTTCAGTGGCAAGGACGATGAATGACGCTCTTGAATAGAAAAATATTTTTCTTGAAATTTTTGGCAGAGTGGTTTTTTTATTATTATTAGAAAGGGCTAGCCATATTTTTGTTAATGTGTACATAGGTACTCACCTTCAAACATCTGGAGGGCTGTCACATGGAAGATGGAGCAAGCTTGCTTTTTCTTGCCCCAGAGGGTAGGATCCAAACCAATGGATTCAAGCTGCAACGAAGGAGAGTCTGACTGTTCGACAGTGGAATGGACTCCCTCGGAAGGTGGTGGACTCTGATTTAAGCAGAGGTTGGACGACCATCGGTCAGGGGTTCTTTAGCTGCGATTCCTGCATTGCAAGTGGTTGGACCACATGACTCTCAGAGTCCCTCCCAACTTAACGCTTCTATGATTCCATCAACATTTTTCTTTCTTTCTTTCTTTTTTTAATATATCTTTATTGGTTTAAAATACAATCTTACAATAAAGGTAAGTACAACAAAGTTAAGCACAGAAAAGAAAAGAAGAAAAAAGAAAGAAAAGAATTCTCCACATCAAAAAGTACAAAAAGTTTAAAAGTAACAAGAAGAAGAAAAATAACAATTAAAAGTACCAGATATTTATACAACATCATGTCTTATCCAATAAAGTCTTCTGTGAAAAGCTTCCAATCCTTCTCATTATGCTTTTTCTATTGTCTTGATTTTATCACACTGTTTTATTTCTTTTTCCATATATACCTCTAAGATGTTTATTCCATTTATTTATTATACACAAATATCATTCAATTCTGCTAGGATGGTATCATTTCTACAATATAGTCTTATATATTCCTTAAATGTTTTCCATTCTCCATATACTTTTTGATTTAAAGTTCCCCTGACTTTTCCACTCAGCTTTGCTAATAGGAAATACTCTGTCATGAGTGTTTGCCATTCTGCTATTGTTGGTGTTGTTTCGCATTCCACCATCATTTTTCAGAAGGAGTTTGGAGCTGTCCGTGGTCCTGCATGGAGCTGTCCGTGGTCCTGCAACCCTTGCCTTGCCTCGCCTGGGATTTACCCCTGCCCCAACTTATACTAGAAACCTCATACACCTCCCAGGCCCAGCTTGTCATGTTCAACGAGTGATGAACTTCGGTTCCCTAATTTCTGTGGGTCGATTCTGAGCAGAACTTAGTTGGCTTGCAACCCTTTATAGCTGTGATCCGGGCGAGTCCCAACCCGCCCCCTTCACTAGAGCTGAAGTCCGTACATCTGAAAAGTGCCTCGTGAAATCTATGACGGCACGGTCTGCTGGCTTCGGAGCTGTGCCGTGACTGGGAGCATAAATCTTATGCTTCTGGAAATGAATAATAGAAGGGGGAGAGCCATAAAAGAAGATGGCGAGGGGCAGAATTCACCTCACAAACCCTGCAGACGGCCGCCAGAGGTTCCCCGCAGAGTAACGGGTGTTCCACGAGAATGGATCAGGGGCGCCGGACGTTACAAGAGTGATGAGGTGCAGGGGCTTGCACTTTCTGCCCAAGCGCAAGGGAGCAATAGCGAGTGACTGGGCATAAATCTCCCGCAAGGTCAAAGGCGCGAATGACGCTAAGGTGAAGTGGGGAAGCCATTCCCCTTAATAGGCCGGTAGCAGGATGCAGAAGCTTCGTGATGCATTGCAAAGGTAATTGCTGCAAGGGAGGGAAGTTAATGGCAGGGCTGAAGTCTTCTCCCGACGCTCATGCGGATACATGCGCACACACAGTCTCCACTCTGGTCCTTTTCTTTGCAATAACGCGGCAAAATATATTCAGTCTTCCAGTGCAGTTGTGCTGGTCCTGGGGGTTAATCAAGAGGCAAGGTCCAAGTCCAGTCCATGGTCGATGAAGCAATATGAAGGTAGTCTGTAAAAGTCGAAGCTGGGTGCAGGACAGGGTTCAGGCAGGAACTGACAACCACCAACATTGCTCCCGCAACTTGGGACTGGGGCTGGCTGGCTCTGCCCCAAGGCATAGGGTGGCCCCGATCCTCTGGTGACTCACCTCTCCTGGCCTGGAAGTGAGCACTCTTCCTGCGGCAACTTAGTTCCCTCCACCTCTCTGCCCTGAGCCTCTGCAGCTCAGGAGAGGCTGGAGGGTTTCCAGACCCAGAGGCAACCTCAGCTTCCCCTGACGGGGCTGAGAGTGGAGCACCTGCAGGCAATGGGTCCTCCATCACCTCAGGAGCCAGAGCAGACTCAGCTGGTGCCTGCACCTGAGGATCCAGCACAGGTGAGGACCCTTCAGGCTCATGCCTCAGCTGGTTCTGTAGGCGGGGAATCCTGTGCAGGCTGGGATTCCTCAGGTTCAGCATCTGAATCCAAATCCCAGGCCATCACAGCAGTTTTGAAGAGGAAGGCAGGAGAATGGGAAGGAAGGGGACACGGCCGCTTCTTCCATTTCCCTGACATTTCCTTAAGTGTTTATTGAGAGCCGGTGCGGCCTAGCGGTGCGGTGTCAGTCTAGGACCCGGGAGACCTGGGTTCGAATCCCCGCTTGGCCACGAAGCTCAATGGGTGACCGTAGGCCTACCCTACCTCGCAGGGTTGTTGTGGGGGTTAAGCGAGGAAGCGGGGGAGAACTGCCTCGAGGTCCTTGGAGAAAAATGGAGGATATCAATGAAGCAAACCACTTGGCGCTTGAAATTGAAACACTTTGAATTTTCCTTTTACGCTGATTGTGGCTCTAGGGCAGGGACCTTCTTGCAGAAATAGTAATGTTCACACACCCACACACCCCATGGCCCCAGACCATTACACTATTACTGCAAATAGGAACATAGTAAGCTGCCTTGTCCTGAATCAGACCATTGGTCTATCTCATGGGTAGGCAAACTAAGGCCCAGGGGCCGGATCCATCCCAATCGCCTTCTAAATCTGGCCCACGGACGGTCTGGGAATCAGTGTGTCTTTACATGAGTAGAATGTGTCCTTTTATTTAAAATGCATCTCTGGGTTATTTGTGGGGCCTGCCTGGTGTATTTACATGAGTAGAACGTATGCTTTTATTGAAAATGCATCTCTGGGTTATTTGTGGGGTGTAGGAATTCGTACATTTTCCCCCCTTCAAAATATAGTCCCCCCCCACAAGGTCTGAGGCACAGTGGACCGGCCCCCTGCTGACAAAGTTTGCTGACCCCTGGATCTACTTCAGCATTGTCTACACTGACTAACAGTACCTTTCCATGATTTTAGGCTGGGGTCTTTCCCAGCCCTATTTGGAGATACAAGCATATCCGCTACTATTGAGCCGTGGTCCTCTTCCACTACAGTCTTCTTGCCAGAGGAATCCCACTGCTACCACCTGAGTATCCAAGTTCGGCTACAAATCAAGAAGTAGCCCAAGGTGCTAGCCCTCAGGAACTAGGAGAAGCTGGGCACCACCAGGGACTGGGAAGCTTGACTCTCTGTAGCCAGAACCTCAACACTCATTGCATACCCTCCAATATTTCTCTGATGAAAATAGGGACGTCCTCTTCTACATCAGGGACATGCGTGGCTCTGTGGGTTAAACCCCAGAGGCTAGGGCTTGCCGATCAGAAGGTCGATGGTTTGAATCCCCGCGATGGGATGAGATCCCGTTGCTCAGTCCCTGCTCCTGCCAACCTAGCAGTTCGAAAGCACGTCAAAGTGCAAGTAGATAAATAGGCACCGCTTTGGCGGAAAGGTAAACGGCGTTTCCGTGCACTGCTCTGGCTCGCCAGAAGTGGCTTAGTCATGCTGGCCACATGACCCAGAAGCTGTATGCTGGCTCCCTCAGCCAATAAAGCGAGATGAGCGCTGCAACCCCAGAGTCGGCAACGACTGGACCTAATGGTCAGGGGTCCCTTTACGTTTACCTTCTACATCAGGAAGCTTTTCCTGGGTTTGATCTCCCACACACAAAGACGTCATACACACATTGACATTGGTCACTTTGAGCCAATTGCAGCCTCTCCACCAAACTTACCTCACAGGGTTGTTGTAAAGGAAAAAAATGTGAGAGGGAAGGAATCATGTATAATGCCCTCCACAGGTAAATAGGTTGAAATAAAATTGTAGCTATCAGTTGCCTTGAGTCCTTGTCAGGGAAAAAGGCAGGAAATTAACAACAACAACAACATTGAAATAATAATAATAATAATAATAATAATAATAATAATAATAATGGAAACTGTGAAAATGATCAGGAACATACCAGAGAGTAAATCCTATTGAACTTAGTAGGATTTAGTTCTGAGGAAAAACGCTTAGGATTGCAGTGTAAGGCTGCCCAGTCTTGACCCAGTTACCTGGGAGTAAACTGCATTGAATGGGACTTACTTGTGAGTAGACAGTGTGAGGCTCAGTTTACAATAAAGAAATAAACATTCTACATGTTTCCTAAGAAATGACCGGCTACGGAAGCATTGCAATGAATGAATTTGAAGCAGACTGGTGATCTTTTCCTTCAAAATTACAGGAAGGGCTTCGTATACACCAGCTACACCATTTCCTTCATATTTTATTTTCAGTATTAAGCTTGGCCTGATCCAGCAGGATCTTATTGTGTTCTTAGGTGGCACAACTTCCTTTGGAAAAAGCTGCTTGAGATCCGCCAGCAGGACTGCCAATCCTTCCACGCTTACAAGGGAGCAAGAACCGTTTAACCCAGACAGACGTGCATCCGAGTCGATACAGGCATAAGATTTGGTGGCATGAAACATTTAAACAGGAAAGTGCAGGGGCTCGTATCACATGAGCCCAATCCATCTTTTCCATCCTTCTCAGAAAACATGGCCTTCGAGTGACACCGTGACATCTCGTGTTTCCACTGCCCCCCCTTCTCAAAAAAAACACGTTTTGTTTGTTCTCTGTTTTATCTTCCTCAAATCACATTGTGCGCAGAAATGGGAAGAAGCTAACGGTCCAGTGAATGCAATATAAACTTCAGATACGCTTGTGTCCCCGATCTGGCTATGCCTGCATTGCTGCCTTATCTGGCCTCTTATCTTGTTCCCTCTCCCCAGAGGATACTGGGAATTGATGTACAAGACTGAAGTGTAGGGAGTCTCAAGAGAGAAAGCAAATCTGTTCTTCCAGGGAGGGGAAAAACACCATGCATTTTCCCATTGCTCCTTTTTGGCTCGATTGCCTTCAGCACTGATTGATGGATTGTGTTTGTATCCCAGTGTTTTCTCTAAGAAGCTCAAAGAGGTATGCATGGTTCTTCCCCCCTGAATTAATCTCTGTGCTGGGCCCGGGGGTAAACCCGAGCAATGCAGTCCAGGTCCAGTCCTGAATCCAAGGGTTCTGCGAAGAGTCAGCCCGACAGGGTCAAGGCAGGAAACCAGGCAGAGTCAGGCACAGGGTCTCAGGCAGGTTCTAGCAAACAGCAATGTTGCTCCCACAACCTGGGGCGGGGTCCGACAGCCTTTTATCTCTGTCGGGGTAGCAGCCAGTCCTGATCCCCTGGCAACTCACCTCCCTGTCTCTCCTGAAGGCGAGCACTCCTCCTGCGAGTATTCAGGTCTCTCCTTCTCTCAGACCTCAGTCTCTGCAGCTCGGGAGACGTCGGTGGGTTACTAGACCCAGGGGCCGCCTCAGCCTCCCCTGACCCAACCGGTAGTGGAGCAGCTGTAAGTGTTGGCCCAGCTGGAGGCAACGAGGTCATCCCCCGCATCTGGAGCCAGGGCAGACTTAGGCCCCTGACTCGGCCCAGCTGGTGCTTGTTGCAGGGGAACCTGTGCAGACTGGGACTCTTCAGGATCAGGCCCCAGACTTGGTTCCGATGCCGCCTGAGGCAGAGGATCCAGTGCGGACTGAGACTCCTCTGGTTCCGAGTCCGAGCCCGAGTCCCAGGCCATCACAATCCCCACAACAGCCCTGTGAGATTGGACTGAGGGGTAGCGATTGGCCCAATGTCACTTGGTTGTGTAGGGATTTGAACCCTGGCCTCCTGAGTGCTAGTCTGATGCTCTAACCACTCTGCGAGGCTGCCTGCTCATTGTAAAATCTGATAAACATTTGACGCTAAATCCTCCGTCCATGATAGAATCAGGGCCTAAACTGCATGGGATGTTTGATGAGAGATTTGCCCTCAAGGACAGGATTTCCCTTCCACAAACGTCCAGCGCAAGGCCTGTGATCTGGATTGGGACCCATGTGCACACACATAAATGCCTGCTGGATGTTGGAGGGTATGTATTTCCAATCCTTCCATGTCTGCATGGGGATCAACATTGGAAAATGTTGATCACTTCTCCGACCTGGGCAGTTATCTTTCCACAAGGGCCGATATTGATGCTGAAATCCAGCATCACCTGAGCTCTGTGAGTGCGGCTTTCTCCCGATTGAAGTGCAGAGTGCTTGAGGTCATTTGCAAGGAAACCAAAATGCTTGTTTACAAAGCTATTGTACTACCAACCTTACTGTATGCTTGCCAAACATGGACCACTGTGTCACTGAAAAAATTTACACATCACTTGGGAAGACAGGTGCACTAATGCCAATATACTGGAAGAAGCAAAGATCACCAGTGTTGAAGCAATGGTTCTTCAACATCAACTTCGTTGGACTGGTCATGTTGTGCGGATGCCTGATGATCGTCTTCCAAACAACTACTCTATTCTGAACTTAAAAATGGAAAGTGCCATGCTGGTGGTCAACAAAAGAGGTTCAAGGACTCTCTCAAGGCAAATCTTTAAAAATGTAGTATAAACACCAACAATTGGGAAACACTGGCCTGCGAGCGCTCCAATTGCAGAAAAGCCTTTACCAAAGGTGTCATGGGCTTTGAAGCCACTCGAACTCAGGACGCAAGGGAGAAACGTGCTAAGAGGAAGGCACGCTTGGCAAACCCTCACCGTGATCAACTCCCGCCTGGAAACCAATGTCCCCACTGTGGAAGGACGTGTGGATCCAGAATTGGCCTCCACGGTCAGTTACAGACTGACTGTTAAAACCGTGTTTATGGAAGACAATCTTACTCAGCTACGAGGGATCGCCAAAGAAGATGTCTGCATGGGGGAGCCTCCCATTGAAGCAGGTGGGACTTCCCCCATCCCTGCAAAGCGCTGATGTGGAGGCCTGATCCATACTTGCCAAGTGCCCGGTTTTAAGCACAATGACCCTGCTTTCTTTGAAGGCCCCCACCCCGGGCTCTGCCTTTGTCCTGGGGGGGGGCCTCAACTTCATGCGGCCTAAGGATGGAGGCTGAGGAAACAGCTCCTGCGAAGGCAGCAGGATTCGCTTCCCCACCAACATGGCACCCTAATGGAACCACAACTCCCATCAACCCCTAGGAGAGGCGTACCCTCCAACATTTCTCTGACGAAAATAGGGATGTCCTATTCAATTATAATAGTTATTTATTTACATTTTTTATTTTTACTGTTCAAGTTTATACATTTCACTAATTTTACACTCATTTTGACATTTCAAAACTTGACTTCCTTCCCCCTCTTTCTGCGGTTCCTTAAATTTCTTTTTAACATCTTTTGCATATCCAAATGGACCAAATGTTCGAAAACTGGAACACCTACTTCCGGTTTTGCAGCCTTTGGGTTCTAAGTTGTTCGTGAACGAAGCTGTTTGAAAACTGAGGTACCACTGTATTTGGCTTCTCAGCAGTGGTGGGGGTGCAGGCCATCTTCAAGGCCCCTTCACCCACAAATGCCTGACTCTGAGGAAGGGTTTTTACATTCCCTACAGAGACAGTGTGAGACGCTAGCAGGCAGCAAAGGAAGAGACCACCGCCATGCAGAAATAGGTGGCTTTGGTCCACCTCCCCTCAGGCAGCGAAATCTCTTGCGCCAGCCATGCGAGGCTGTGCTTGAGCGCGAACCGGAGACGATAGAAGATTCGTGGTTGAAACAAATCGCTAATTATCAAGTTGTCCCGGCAGATGATAACCCCGATAACGGCTTATTACCAAAGCCATCTGCCAGGGATGAGCCTCTTCCGAAAGGGGGTAGTGATCTTTGCTGAGCTGCCGTGAGAAAACAATTAAAAACTGCATAACGAGATATTTTATTAACGCTGCTTTTGCGAACGTTTCTGCAGGCCTCTCGCAGCCCGTCTCCCGGGGGGTGTTGCGCCTCTTTGCCACTGTTTTAATCACAACACGAGAAACAGCTGTGTAAACTCGAGATACGGCTTGCAAAAGGGAGAAAGAAATCCCAGCGCAGGATCGCACACAGCTGATACGATCTTTTATTTACCAAAGGCTTCCAGCCAAGAGTCACTTTCCATGAGAGGATGAGGCGTGGAACAAAACCACAGAAACACAAACAGGATTCTTAGGAAGTGTCGGGGGCCTGCAACAGCATCCAGTGCCGGACCCGCAAGTTTTGATCGGACTCTGTGCCAGGAACCTGGTATGGCCCCAATGGGAGCATCACAGTGCTAGCAATTGCTTCAGGCGGCTGCTTAGCCTGGCCTGGCCTGGCCCTACCATTGGACAGAGTGAAGCCATTGCCTCAGGTGAGAGAGACTGCAAAGGCAACTTTCCCTATAGAACCCCCAGCCATTCCCCTTTGTTGTTGTTTGCCTTCTCCTGGGTCCCTTAATCTGTCGTGTTGCACTAGAGCAGGCATAGGCAAACCCGGCCCTCCAGGTGTTTTGAGACTACAATTCCCATCATCCCTGGCCACTGGTCTTGTTAGCTAGGGATGGTGGGAGTTGTAGTCCCAAAACATCTGGAGGGCTGAGTTTGCCTATGCCTGCACTAGAGCCCATTTAATAATAATAATAATAATAATAATAATAATAAGAATTTGTTTGTTTAGTTGTTTGGTCGTGTCCAACTCTTCATGACCCCATGGACCACAGCACGCCAGGCACTCCTGTCTTCAATAATAATACTAATAATAATAAATTTTGTTTATACCCTGCCCTCCCCAGCCAGGGCCGGGAGACTAACACCAAATATGAATTACAATAAACGTAATAGAGGAAAACAAACAAACAAACAAACACACAAACAAACAAACAGTTAATTAAAATACAGCTTAAAATACAGCTTAAAATGCAGCCTCATTTTAGTAGTAGACCATAAATCAAGACCATAAAGGGACATCAGATATTCACCTGAGCCAGCTATCCATGCTGGTCCTACATGCGCCAACAAAAAAGCCAAGAGAAAATTTATATACAAAATCCCATATAAGGGGTCAGAGTGAGTCTAAGCCGAAGGCCAGGTGGAACAGCTCCGTCCTGCAGACCCTGTGGAAAGATGTCAAATCCCGCAGGGCCCTAGTCTCTTGTGACAGAGCATTCCACCATGTCGGGGCCAGTGCTGAAAAGGCCCTGGTCCTAGTTGAAACCAATCTAACCTCCTTGAGGCTTGGGACCTCCAAAGTGTTGTTATTTGTGGAGCTTAAGGTCCTCCGCGGGGCATACCAGGAGAGGCGGTCCCGTAGGTTTGTTTGCTTCAAAGTGTTCTGAAGCACATCAGATAGTTATTGAGCTGCCTTCTTCAGTGTTGGACCCTTATTGGTCTTGTCTATTCAGTCCACATGCAGTAATAATAATAATAATAATAATAATAATAATTTTTAAAAATGGCAGAATAATACAATTACAAATAAAATAAAGATGCATTTAAAGCACACAACAACTATTAAAGCGTCTAAAAGCTTGCAGAACATCTAAAAACACGGGAAAGAATCACATACCCTGACAGCTAATAATGTCAGGGTTGCTAGGAACAATATCTTTCAGCCATATGCTGCCTGGGTAAGCATTATATATATAAGGAATGCTTCCTGTTAAAAGCTCATGATGAGGGACAGAGATGCACCTCACCAGGGAGGGCATTTCACAAGCAGGGAGCCACCACCGAGGAGGCCCTGTCACAGTTTGCCGCCAACCGGGCAGCTCCCAGAAGCAACACCCAATTTAATAAGGTCTCTGATTAAAGGGACTTAGCTGGAACGTCCACCAAAATAGAGAACTCATATGCTTTGCTCCCACTGCTGCCCCTCCCCGTGACAGAATAGATGAAATATATGCATTAAAAATGATAAAGGCATTACAGTGATAAGGAGCTATAAGTTCCTCCTGCGTAAGCAAATGATGGCATTTCATTCCAGACATAATTAACATGCTGCACACATAACCTAACCCCCTCTTGCTGAACTGCCACTAAAGCTTAGGATCATCTGGAAGCTGTCCTGCTACTTAACTGTATAGAAATGCAACTGATTGATGGGAACAGTAGTGATTATTTATCGTATTGTGGGAGGAGAGAGAGAGAAAGCCAGAATCGAAAGCAAACAAGATTTAAAGGTAAAGGGACCCCTGACCATTAGGTCCAGTCGTGACCGACTCTTGGGTTACGGCGCTCATCTCGCTTTATTGGCCGAGGGAGCCGGCGTACAGCTTCCGGGTCATGTGCCCAGCATGACTAAGCCGCTTCTGGCAAACCAGAGCAGCACACGGAAACGCCGTTTACCTTCCTGCCAGAGCTGTACCTATTTATCTCCTTGCACTTTGACATGCTTTCGAACTGCTAGGTTGGCAGGAGCAGGGACCGAGCAACAGGAGCTCACCTTGTCATGGGGATTCAAACCGCCAGCCTTCTGATTGGCAAGTCCTAGGCTCTGTGGTTTAACCCACAGAGCCACCCGTGTCCCAAACAAGATTTACCATGGCTATAAATCGCCCAACACCTGTCACTGAGGTTGACAAACTGGACAGGGTGGGTGGGACCAACTGTTCACGGGGCAGGGAGGACAGGGGACAACATTTTTGGTTGTATCGGTGTTGCCTGGTGCTTCAAAAGCGCCTTTTAACTCAGCATGCCCCAACCTGGGGTCCTTCAGGTATTTTGGACTAGAATTTCCATCCTCAGTTACCATTGATCATCTAGGACAAGGCTGATGAGAACTGTAGTCTGGACTAAGGGGAGGAGCCATGAAGGGATGTGAGCCTACCCCACAGCAGGTGTGATGGCCTGGGACTCAGGCTCAGACTCGGAACCAGAAGAGTCTCAGTCCGCACCAGATCCTTTGTCTCAGGCATAATCTGAACCAAGTCTGAGGCCTGATTCTGAAGAGCCCCAGTCTGCACAGGTTCCCCTGCAGCAAACACCAGCTGGGCCGAGTCAGGGGCCTGAGCCTGCCCTGGCTCCAGATGCGGGGATGACCTCGTTGCCTTCAGCTGGGCCATCACTTACAGCTGCTCCACTACCAGTTGGGTCAGGGAAGGCTGAGGCGGCCTCTGGGTCTAGTAACCCACCGACGTCTCCCGAGCTGCAGAGACTCAGGTCTGAGAAAAAGAGAGACCTGAGTACTTGCAGGAGGAGTGCTCGCCTTCAGGAAAGACAGGGAGGTGAGTCACTGGGGGATCAGGACCGGCCGTTACCCCGACAGAGATAAAAGGCTGTCGGACCTTGCCCCAGGTTGCGGGAGCAACATTGCTGTATGCTAGATCCTGCCTGAGATCCTGTACCTGTCCTTGCCTGGTTTCCTGCCGTGGCCCTGTCGGACTGACTCCTAGCAGAACCTTCGGATTCTGGACTGGTCCTGGACCATGTTTCACTGGTTACCCCCAGGCCCAGCACAGCAGGACCAAGAAAACAGAGAGAAGTAAAGCTGAGGTGGTCATCCCAGCTGACTGGAAAAGCCATGATGCTCTCTGTGGAGAGCACTGACTCACGGCCCCAGTGACTCTGATGCTACAGGGGGAAGTACATTATGCAAAGCGAGAGTATTAACGGGAGGGGGGGCAATGTAATTCCACCAGGAAACAGTTCCTCCATAGCAACTGGTGAATAGATACCTTGGTTAGAACTGAAAGGACAACCCATAAAATGGGTATTTCAAAAAATACGGTGTTGTACATCCTGGGACACAAGTTGTTGAGCTTTTGGGGGGCAAAGTTGTTTAGATGAGCTTTTTTTGCTAAATCTAAAAAAAATAAGACGACATTTCCCCCGGACATTTTAACCAATTTTCAGAAATTCCACCCGGACACTATTTTCGACGGATGAATCCTGGGAAATTCCGGACATAGGGTGCTTTATTTGGCCACTCCCCTTGGGTGACTGTTTGCAGATGCTAACATATCATTTTGAGGACTGGCTTTCTGTAGTCACTTCTATTGCATCTTTTTAATGGAGCTGTAGTTTAGTTCAGGGGTCTCCTAACACCTCACAGCACCCTTAACGAACTACAGTCTCCAGAATCCTTTGGGCAGGGCAGTCACGATACTTAAAAGCGGTATAGGTAAAGGTAAAGGGACCCCTGACCATTAGGTCCAGTTGCGGACGACTCTGGGGTTGCGGTGCTCATCTCGCTTTATTGGCCGAGGGAGCCGGCGTACAGCTTCTGGGTCATGTGGCCAGCATGACTAAGCCACTTCTGGCGAACCAGAGCAGCACACGGAAATGCCGTTTACCTTCCCGCCAGAGCGGTACCTATTTATCTACTTGCACTTTGATGTGCTTTCGAACTGCTAGGTTGGCAGGAGCAGGGACCGAGCAACGGGAGCTCACCCTGTCATGGGGATTCGAACCGCCGACCTTCTGATTGGCAAGTGTGGTTTAACCTACAGCGCCACCCGCGTGGCGGGTATAAGAAGTGCTCAAATCCCAAAGAAATCCAGGTAAGATATGAGTGGGTCAGCAGCCGTGGGAATCAAGACAGCCCTTCATTTGGTATTGAAGAACCGGTGGCCTCTTTGAAGGATCTGTGCAGTTCAGTGTTGGCTGAGGGAAGCTGTAAGAAAGGAGGTCACCTTTGGGAATTAGCCTTGGGATTGCATAAGCGGAAACTTTTAAATGACGCGTGCGGCCGTAAATTTCCTCCTTAGCAAATTAAAGAAAGGTTTATGGGCTCCTGGCATGATTACATCCATAGCAATCCGGAGTTGGGTTTCAAATAAACTTTGCTCCCATTAATTATCGTCCTGTAATCACAAGGGGGGGGAGGAGTCCCAGCAAGGGGGGGCGCAGTTCCAAAGGAGAGCTATGAAGAATGAAGGGAGGGAGATTCTTCCCTGGAACCACATCTCCAGTTGCCATGATAATTGATTGATTGGTTGATTGATTGATTGATTGATTGATTGATTGATTGAATTAAACCAATCCACTTAGACTGGTGATCCACCTCATTCTGAGAGTTTTAGATAAACAGGCTTTATGGTTTTAGAGGCCGATGGCCTCAAATGCCTCCTTATCACGCCCTGAGGATAATTTTGCTGAACATCCTTTCTTAACATCCTTTCAGTGAAGCTTGTCTAGGTAAAAGGTAAAGGACCCCTGGACGGTTAAGTCCAGTCGAGGGCAACTATGGGGTTGTGGCGCTCATCTCGCTTTCAGGCTGAGGGAGCCGGCGTTTGTCCACAGACAGCTTTTCGAGTCATGTGGCCAACAGGACTAAACCACTTCTGGCACAACGGTACACCGTGACGGAAACCAGAACGCATGGAAACGCTATTTACCTTTCTGCCGCAGCAGTACCCAGTGGCAGAGCTTCATGGTCCGACACCGGGGGGGGCGGAGAGCAGGCGGGGGTGGGGCTGACGTGCGTCCTGGGGGCAGGGTGCGCTGCCCACAGGGGCATGGCGCAGGTTCTGGGGGCAAGCACGCCGCCTACAGCCATGGCATTCTGGGGGCATGGTGAGCGTTCTGGGAGCAGGGCACGCCACCTGAAGGGCAGGGCACCCAGCGCAGGCAGGGGGGCAGCCGTGATGGCACCTTACCAGGATTGTGCTGCCGGGGGTGGTGCACTTCCCGTGCACTCCTCTTCCTCCACCAGTGGTGGTAACTATTTATCTACTTGCACTGGTGTACTTTCGAACTGCTAGGTTGACAGGAGCTGGGACAGAGCACTGGGAGCTCAGTCTGTTGCGGGGATTCGAACCGCTGACCTTCCAACCAGCAAGCCCAAGAGGCTCTGTGGTTTAGACCACAGCGCCACCCGTGTCCCGTGAAGTTTGTCTGGGGATAGCCAAAATAGGCCTTTTTCTTTCACATCCACCTGTTGCTCCTGAGAATAGAGTTTGCCCTAAGAGGTTTGATTGGCAACAAGGAATGCGGAAAACCCAGAAATTGTACGTGTGACAAGCCAAGCCCAAGTCCAGCTAAATCTAGTTTTAAGAGTAGAAGGGAGGTGTCCACATACTGGCATACCATCCATCTTTCTCCGATGCAAATCCAGGACCAACTTCATCAGCTTGTGTCAACTGGTTGCTTTGAGCTATTGGCTGCTTCGTTTTTGGTCCAGAATGCTACTACTTTAATTTCCTCCCTATTCTATTCTTCCTTCCCCCTTTCTCAATCATCCACATCCTTCTCTCTCCTCCTCCTCCTGCAGAGCCAATTACCCTGTCTGACTTCTGCATCCATAAACAAAGCCAATATCCATTTCCTAATAGCAAGGATTCATAATTAAAGCAATGCCCCTCTGAAAAACGTTTCATAACAGCCAATTAAGTTTTAATGAAGGAAGGAGTCTCACAAAATGGGGATGGCTGTTGGGTGGGGTGTCTGTATGTGTAAGTGCCAGAAAACTTTGTTGTTTAGTCGTTTAGTCATGTCCGACTCTTCATGACCCCATGGACCAGAGCACGCCAGGCACCTCCGTCGTCCACTGCCTCCCACAGTTTGGTCAAACTCATGCTGGTAGCTTCGAGAACACTGTCCAACCATCTCATCCTCTGTCGTCCCCTTCTCCTTGTGCCCTCCATCTTTCCCAACATCAGGGTCTTTTCCAGGGAGTCTTCTCTTCTCATGAGATGGCCAAAGTATTGGAGCCTCAGCTTCAGGATCTGTCCTTCCAGTGAGCACTCAGGGCTGATTTCCTTGAGAATGGATAGGTTTGATCTTCTTGCAGTCCATGGGACTCTCAAGAGTCTCCTCCAGCACCATAATTCAAAAGCATCAATTCTTCGGCGATCAGCCTTCTTTATGGTCCAGCTCTCACTTCCATACATCACTACTGGGAAAACCAAGCTTTTACTATACAGACCTTTGTTGGCAAGGTGATGTCTCTGCTTTTTAAGATGCTGTCTACGTTTGTCAGAAAACTATCCAAATCAAATATGGTGTCTGTGGATTCTGCTCAGGGTGAAGCTGTTGAGATCAGTCAGAACAACTCCGTGTTGGCCCGCCAGACTGAGGGTAGGGTTGCGTTGCCACAAAAGAGGGAATGCATCATTTTAAGATGGCATCTCATTTAAGATTCAGTATCTGCACAGCACTGGGTCAACTAGTGTTATCTCTGGATATTCTCGTCCTTTGCTCTCCCCCCCCCCTTCACTTAGCATGCCAAAGATAACCCACCGGCGGCACCCAAAGCATTTGGAATATTTTGTGTCACTGGAAACACGAAGGTCACATTCCGGCACTGATGGCTCAGCATCCATCATATCTCTGCGTTAAGTAAATTGAGGGCCTTGCAGTTTTTTCTGTGGGGTGGCAGAGGGGAGGGGAGAGAATGGAGACTTCTGAACAAACATTTTAAGGCTGGGTAAAGACCTCTCCCCACCCCTAGGAGCTGGAGGGAAGTAAAGTGGAAGAGGAACTGGCATTCTCTTTGACGTATACACCAGTCCCACTAGCCTGACCAGTGTTTCATGGTTTGAAAACTAAGGAAAATCCAAGCTCAGTATGCCAGCTCTTGCAAAAGGTTTATATTGGATCTGATGAATTCTGATTCAGCTCTCATATACGCTGGACAAGTGTATTGCCAAGGCAGCTATCCTCTCCGAAATGGAGAATGTACAGTGGTACCTCGGGTTACAGACGCTTCAGGTTACAGACTCCGCTAACCCAGAAATAGTATCTCGGATTAAGAACTTTGCTTCAGGATGAGAACAGAAATCATGTGGTAGCAGCGCGGTGGCAGCAGGAGGCCCCATTAGCTAAAGTGGTACCTCAGGTTAAGAACAGTTTCATGTTAAGAACGGACCTCCGGAATAAATTAAGTTCGTAACCGGAGATACCACTGTAATGCTTATGACCAAGATCAATGTCTACCACACTGCTTTGTGGAAGTGAGCTGTGGGCATTCTTACAACTGCCTGGAGTGACATCTTAATGCCTTCCACAAGCACTGTGTCAGGAAGATTTTGGACATCACGTGGCAGGACAGAGTTTCAAACAAAGATGCACTCACCCAGGTCTACATCCCCAGCATATTTGCACTGTTGTCTCAACGACATGTACGTTGGCTTGGTCATGTTCACAGAATGGAAGACGGCAGAATCGCCCAAGGACGTGCTCTATGGGGAGCTGGGTTCAGGCCCCAGGCCCCATTGGCAGACCAACTCTGCGTTACATAAAGGTAAAGGTAAAGGCACCCCTGACCATTAGGTCCAGTCATGGCCAACTCTGGGGTTGCGGCGTACAGCTTCCGGGTCATGTGGCCAGCATGACTAAGCCGCTTCTGGCGAACCAGAGCAGTGCACGGAAACGCCGTTTACCTTCCCTCCAGAGCGGTACCTATTTCTCTACTTGCACTTTGATGTGCTTTCGAACTGCTAGGTTGGCAGGAGCAGGGACCAAGCAACGGGAGCTCACCCTGTCGCGGGGATTCGAACCGCCAACCTTCTGATCAGCAAGTCCTAGGCTATGTGGTTTAACCCACAGAGATGTCTGCGAACGAACAATAAAGGCCGGCAACATCAACCCTGCTGTCTGGGAATCCCTTGCAGATGACCACAGCACCTGGAGACAACCAGTCAGGTCATGTATCCGCAGCAGTGACCAGAGGAGGAATGACCGCTGGGAGGAGCGCAGAGAAAGAAACGCCATGGTGTATCTGCAGCAACACAACTGGACGCCTTCACCTGCCCCAGCTGCAACAAAACATGTCTCTCCCTTATTGGTCTCTACAGCCACAACAGGTGCTGTTACTTTCTAACACAGAGGAGGCACACTGTTCTGTGGTCTCCCGAGAAATATGGATGCCAGTCCATTCCCTGAGGCTAGCTTCAGGTTTTGCTTCAGCTCTGTCCTCTTCATCTGGTCCTGGCTCCATCCCCTGACCATGGCCCAGGAGGCCACCGCTTTGAAATCAACCACTGACAATCTTGTGGCCTGCCCCACGGTTCCGGATTTGAGTGGGCTATTCATGTGACCCCACTTAATAAATAATAATAATAATAATAATTTATTTATACGCCGCCTTTCCCGGTTCAGAAAACCGGGCTCAGGGTGGCTAAAACATTTAATTGATGCAACAAAAGCAGTATAAAATACAGTATAAAACATGAATAACAATAAATTCAGAATTCAAAAATCAATTTAGGGGGGAAATCCATCCAATAAACATTAGATGATCACCAGGGCTAGCTGGCTAAATTAGTCCTGTTTAGGCCAGCGAGGAGACCAGGGGAGAATTAGCTGTGGGATCCCAGAGTGGGTAATCTTCATAAAAAGGGGAGTGAGTGAGGGAAGGAAGGGGAATAAAAGATCAGGCTAAGTTCAGATTGAAAGCCAGGCGGAATAGCTCTGTCTTACAGGCCCTGCGGAAGGAAGTTAAATCCTGCAGGGCCCCGGTCTCATGGGACAGAGCATTCCACCAGGTCGGAGCCATCACTGAGAAGGCCCTGGCCCTGGTGGAGGATAATCTGACTCCCTTAGGGCCCGGGACCTCTAAACTATGATTATTCATGGACCTTAAGGTCCTCTGCGGGGCATAGCAGGAGAGGCGGTCCCGTAAATACGAGGGCCCTAAGCCACAAAGGGCTTTAAAGGAGGAGAAGGGTACCTCATCCCATCTCTCCTCGCCTTGCATCCGTGGAGGATGAGATGCTACAACGAGAATAGCCTGCTGGCCACACTATTTCCACGGCTGGGCTTTGGGTGGTTTCTGGCGAATTGCATTTGCCTCCCCTCCGGTGCACAAACAGCATCCAAAGGGATACATGGAAAGCCATTGGTTGATGCGGTGAAGCTCTTAACATGTTGCCATGGTGTGATGAACGCAGTGGATATATCCCTGCCAACAGGCAGACGCTGCACAGCAATTTGCTGAGTACATGCTGTAATACCTACAGCCAGGTGGTCATTATTTTTCCCGGCGGGGAGCGGCAGCGCCTGCCTTGAATGACACGACGTCCTGGAGGACGCAAGGTAGAATCGCAAATCGCGGATCCCAAGATGCTAAAATGAGAGCATTAGTGAAATCAAGCAGCAGTTCCAGGAGGGAAGAGAGAAAGCCTTTGCTGCAGGAGTGATAACTCAAACTCCCAGCTTTGTTTCTGCTAAAGGCTTTAATGCAGAAATCAGATTGGTCCATTGGCAAAGGCACAAGGTGAAGCAGGTACAAAAGAAGAAGTAGGGATGCCTAGCTAAGTGCAAGGAAAGAGGCCGATTCAACAGATAACACACATAAGAAGAGCTTGCTGGATCAGGGCCCATCTAGTCCAGCATCCTGTTCTCACAGTGCCCAACCAGATGCCTGTGGAAAACCCGAAACCAGGATTTGAGCATAAGAGCAACTCTCCTCTTCTGTTTATTCCAGCAACTGGGATTCAGAGGCAATTACTGCTGTTGTAAACAAAAATTGCCCTTTTCCCTTATGGGGTATCCAAGAGCCCATATAGAGTCCTTACATAGGTTCCCGATTGGTAGGAGAGAATAACAGAGGCCAACCAGAGAATAATGAGAAGCAAAGCAGCTAGTAAGCTTGATCTTTATTGATCTGTTGCAACAGGGTGCTCCCCTCACCCGCAGGAGAGAGGAGGGACCCAGAAAAATGGCGTGCAAGGCCTTATAAAGACTTTTGAAATTGCCACCCTGTAGATCAAGACCACCCCCAGAAACATCATACATACATCACAGAAGGGGTGTAACCTAAGACCACCCCTCAGATACATCACACCTACATCACAGAAAAGGCGGTCTAAAACAGAAATTTGAATATTGTTTTTCTCCTGTCCTTGTTTATCTCCTGTCTGGCAGGTTACTTGATTGGACTGCCTGGGGAGCCTGGCCATTCTTTTGTAGTGATAAATACTTAGTTCCTAGGCCAGGTCACAGGCTCACACCCTATTCAAACACAGACATACCCTTAAGACAGGATTTGTGAAAGAAAAGACAGTGGGGAGGCTTTTCCACTTTGACCATGCAGAGAAAACATTTGCTCAGTTTAGGAATCAAAATGGCTTCAGGCCGGTCTTCCTGTGCTGATCTATGTACGCGCGGTTATGAACATTACCATATATCTAAGACCTCAAAATTCCTATCACACTGCCTCTGACTGCGGAGGCAAGGCAGAACCGTTGTGGCTACTAGCCATCATGAGATGCGGGTAGCGCTGTGGTCTAAACCACGGAGCCTCTTGGGCTCGCTGATCAGAAGGTCGACGGTTCGAATCCCTGCGACAGAGTGAGCTCCTATTGCTCTGTCCCAGCTCCTGTCAACCTAGCAGTTCGTAAGCATGCCAGTGCAAGTTGATAAATAGGTACTGCTGCAGCAGAAAGGTAAACAGCGTTTCCATGCACTCTGGTTTCCGTCACGGTGTCCCATTGCACCAGAAGTGGTTTAGTCCTGCTGGCCACATGACCCGGAAAGCTGTCTGTGAACAAATGCCGGCTCCCTTGACCTGAAAGCGAGATGAATGCCACAACGCCATAGTCGCCCTCGACTGGACTTAACCGTCCAGGGGTCCTTTACCTTTACCTGCCATCCATAGCCCTCTCCTCCATGAATCTGGCTAATCCACCTTTTAAGCCCTAAATGGCCTCAGCCCAGTATACCTGAAGGAGCGTCTCCACCCCCATCGTTCAGCCCGGACACTGAGGTCCAGCTCTGAGGGCCTTCTGGCGGTTCTCTCACTGTGAGAAGTGAGGTTACAGGGAACCAGGCAGAGAGCCTTCTTGGTAGTGGCACCCACCCTGTGGAACGCCCTCCCATCAGATGTCAAGGAAATAAACAACTATCTGACTAAGAAGACATCTGAAGGCAGCCCTGCTCTGG